ATATAGAATATGTTACATAAGCTAGTTATGATACGTAAAAGCATAGAAAAACTAGGAAGAAATAAGTGTCCCATATATGGGACACTGCAACAATAGGTTAACGTGGGAGCAAAATTCCGGGATATTACACCGAATGAAACGCGGGCCATCTGTCTATCTTTAGAACTGAGGGGTTTCCCGTGTCACGTGACAGGTTCTACTTGATCACCGGCACATGTAGATGAAAAAATCAATGGATGTAACAACGATAATAGTGTCCAAACAATGCGTCCACGTGTGTGCGCGCGCGCTCGTCAGGCGTACTCCGAATTGAAACCGTTTTCCGCGCTTTTGTTGGCGCAACCGAGTGCGGCAGCAGCGGTCGGACCCGATGAAACGCTTTTCGTTCGGTCGGAAATTCACGAAAACAAGAACCATCAGAACGATGAACTTCAAAGCGCGCCGATCTACGTGCCGTGTCAGCCGACTAGCTGGTGAATTCTCTACACGCGATATCGCATTAGACACGTTCAAAAATGTCCTCCGTCAAAATCCGCGCGGATATCGTGTCACACCGATGACTCGTCTATCCGGATAAATTCCCGACGACGAGGTGAGCTACTCGAGGATCCACTCTCACGGGGGAGAACACGCCGCTCTCTCGCACACGAAAATTCTATTCGAGCGACGACACGGTTACAAGAGGTTGACGTCACCCACCCTCGCCGTTATATATACGCGTATAATACATATACCCAGCCAAGTTGTGTCAAGAAGTTTTATCGTCGGTGAATTTTCATTGAATTTCAAGCCGCGTCGTCGAATGGGTGAAGCGGAATTCGAATAGATGCGTGTTATCGCCTCGAATCGATACCGTCGGCGGTTTTCGATGTGTCGCATAAATCTCTGCCCGTCCGTTCGCTGTCGGTGTGTTCTTGTAAATCGCCTCTTTACAAACTAATTCCGTAACGACTTGCTGTGCTTGTGCCGTTTTGCGTGGCCTCCCTCGCTCGACGCCGCTCGTGACGTTTTATTTCCGCGTGAGAGAACTCTCACAGAAAGCGCATGCGGGTAATGCGCGCACGATCGTGTCGGCAGTTTCGCCGCGATGACTAATCACCTTAGGAAATTGAACGCAGTCTCGGAAGAGAAACGCGGGAGAACACCGAATTCAGCCGTCGATTCGATTTCCCGGCATCATTTATTTATACGCGGTTAACGCGCGTTTCCAACGACCTCGGGCGCGATGTAACCGAACAATAAATAGGTAACAAAATAACACGGGCGGGTAATCGCGATAAAATTTTCCACGGAATTTTTGCGACCCCACCGAAGTCTGCGGTAATCGGTGGAAATTCAGTTCCCTCCTGTCCCAGCGACCAATATTGCGGATGCAAAGGGGTTAATTTCGAAGAGAAAAGGAACAATGACTCCATTCGCATTTTACTTTACGTAGTAACACATTAATCGTAATATCTTCCATTTACGGCGAAATCTACGATCATCGATGGAAATTCAGTTCTCTATTGTCCCAACGACCGATCTCGCGGATGCGTCAGAGAGAAAAAAGAGAACGATTTTACTCGCATTTTACTCGATGTAATAACACGGTCGCGTGTTACATATCACGAGCGCAATAACGAGAATGTAAATTGGAAAGCTATCTTTTGTTAGCACTCATCTTCCGCTAATACCACCTGCACCTCGTCCGTATTCGAAATTAGCGGATACCGTTGCAACGAGAGGTTACAGCGCGAGATCGCTGCTGCTTCTTCTCCTCCTCTACCACCGCCGTCACGGTGGAAGTATCAGCCGGTGTGAATGCACGCATTTCCGGTGGCGCGAGAACGACGAGAAAATTGAAATTTTGCCTAGTGCGACGCTTTTCCGCGCCAGCTGCTCGGAAAGCCGGTGAGGAAGCTTTCACCGCGAAATGTCTTCTGCTCGTTAGCGAGTTAACGAGAAGAAACGCGTACGAAAAAGGGATTCGAACAGAGGCGACAAAGCTGCGGCAAGGGGAGGCAGAGTTTTCGAAGCTCGAATGAAATTTCGGGTTGGTAATACCGACCGACCGAATGGAGAACTTCTAAATCCGACGGTAATAACGGCTCTCTCGAAAACTCATCGTTGCCTTCGGCGAGTGAGAGAGAGTCTCCTGTGCTCACGCGACCATTTTGCCCGGCATTAATGTCCACCCTTATCCCCATCAGGGACGGTTTTAGTTTCGGTTTTTAATATAACGCCGCCGTCGGGAGATTTTTTGCAATTAACGAGTATACCTTCTGCTACGCGCGCGTTTGACGACGACGATGACCCACCTCCCCGCACGCCGCGAACTTTCGGACGGCCCTCCGGAAATCCGCGAGCGAGACTTTCTTCCGCGAGTTAATTTCGCAAAATGCTTTTTGTCCGGCGACAGTGGGATTAATCGTGAATCGACGCGGCGGGTTACTATGATATTTTGCCCGATTTAAGCGGCGAGAGCTTACACAGGAGGGGGAAGGGGATGCGAACATCCCGGTTTCCTCTAATTTTAACACATTACCACGCCGTGTCGTAATCGATCGATGAGAGGACCGAACCAACCACCCTTTAGCGATCGTTGCCGACGTTGCGGTTTCCTAGGGACGACGAGCTAACCCGCATACGGTTGTTGGCCCGGGGGAAACTTTCGAGTAGGTGCGTTGTTTTAAGACCGTCATAAATCGGCCGAGCTCTCTGGCAGTGAGTCGGTCGATCGCAAAATGCGCTGCATCCCGCGTTCGAATATTATTATTAATACACCGTTCATGCCGCGAATGTTTTCGCGCCAACCGGTGGAAGTGTCGATGAAAGCAACAACTCAGCGCGAACGGGGGACCGGGAGGGTGAAAATATCGATTGTCGACAGCTTGCACTTCCGAGGCGGGCGCGATTCTTTTATTCGCGCGTTCGCACGTCGCTGCGGATAAACTCGATATAACAGATTTGACTGCGCCAATGTTTCCAATATCTGTCGCTAAAATTTGCGCCGCTACTTTTTTAACCGGAACGCGTTGCGAGAGAGCGCGTGTTTAGAATCCATTCCTTCCGGTTTTCCGCTTCTGTCGGGGTCGCTTATCGCTCGGAGAGCTATTCCGGATGGAACGGATACTTCTATATTCATCCCTTTCAAGAGATTAAAGTTTTTCGATGTTTTCGACTTCTCTCGCGAAAATAACGCGATATTTTGCGGATAAAATAGGGGATAGATCGCTGCTTTAACGGCGAGAGAGATATGCCGCGACGGACGCGCAGAATGCAAACGCAAATGAACATATTAATAAACGGGTAACGAATAAAGTTCATTACGCGACATTTTCTCGGTGTTATTTCGCGTAAATAACACGCGTCCGGACGATTTTACAGAGTTTTACGCAATTACAAGAATAACCATCTCTCCCTTCCCGCACACACGTCACCGAAAATGCGGCGCGCGTTACGCTGCAGTGAATGCACAGTTTAACGATATTTTAATTAATGTTTGTTGTAATTAAATTAATAATTAAATCGGTACGCGACCGTGCCGATGCGAACGCGAAAATCTACGGACATTAAAACGTACACATCGGACAGATAACATTCCACCGGTAGTTAATTACGCGTGGCAATGATGCGTATTCCGGTTTCATTAAGCGCGCTATCGCATTTAATCCGCGCGTTTTTGCCCCGGGACAGTGCAGCAATTTCTATCCCGCTGCAGCTCATTTTTATATCACGTTAATGCGCATTACGAGATGTTACGCGCAAGCAAAGAGTGAGAAAAAGGGACGGAGACAGAGAAAATTTTCAGCGCGGTTACGGCCCGATGAAACGGTTCTTCTTCTTCTACTTCTTCTCCCACTTCTACTTTTACTTCCACGGTCGCTGTCGTCGCCGGCGCCGCACGCTGACGCATAACGCGCTGGCAACTTGCGAACAAATTTTTGCACCGGCCGAGTGGCCGCGCGCCACTCGTGAAATGCAAAATGCATCGCGTTTCCCGCGAACTTCGTCTCTGCAGCGGCAAGGACGCGCGTCGGCCGCTCGTAAAGAACTTCTTATGCGTCGAGGTGCATTCGTTCGTCGCAATTCGCGCATTCTTTCCGTGTGATAATATTCACATTTTTTCATATTAAATTTCTTATAAATACTTCTCCCCGTTGTATATTACTGAGACGAGCGAAGGCAACCCTCGCGGCGACCTATTTTAGCAAAATTACACGGAGAAAAAATATTGCAGTATATATATAGAAAAAGAAATTGAAATTTTCCCAAGTAAATATTTCTCATGTCGTTTTCTTCGATATATATTGGTTGGAAAAAAGTTTGACTGTGATGACGGAATATATATTTTTGTGAAATATATCTAAGTTTTCTTATTAATTAATAGGAATAAAATTTTATTTCGTCGTATTTAAAAAGACGTTTGTTTCTGTGAAATAATCCTTATATTTCACAAATAAATTTTAGAATTTTCTTTCTCAGTGTAAAAATTATCACGACATTTTATAATGCTGGAACATATCCCGGAATTATGATTGAAATTATGATGTGTGTTGTAATTTTTAGCGACGTATATATTGAGAAACATATTCAGCTGACTCCGACAAATTCTTATTTGGATATGGCCAAATGTTTTGGTTATAAGATCTAAGGTTTGGTTCTCTGAAACAAACCATTTTCATTTTTATTTCTCATAACCAAAGCATTTATTTGCCCATATCCAAACAAGAATTTAGTTTCAGTCAACTCAATGGGTTTCGCAATGCATGTACACACATTACTACAAATTACAGCACACATAATAATTTCAATAATAATTCCGGAACAGTTCAGCATTACAAACTTTTGTAGTCATTTTTACTATAACATTTTTTCCGTGTGATGTGAAATCGCGAGAGACCACGGTTCTCTCTGCGCTGATGACGCGCGCGATATGTACGTTTTTGCTTCGTTTTTTCATAATAATGGTATTACGAAAGCATGCAATAATAGTGATATCGTGTCTCGTTTGATTACAGCGACAGCGGCATGGCCGCGGCGGGAGGAGCCCTGTCCGATACCAGGAGATTTTTGCATGAACGGTGGTACCTGCCTATTTTTCGAGACCGTCGGTGAACCGGCATGCAGGTGAGCACACGAATATTTCATTCGTAGTAACATCAGAGAGCACTTGAATTATAGACAATCCCCCATCATCGTTGGGTTCTTAGGTGGAAAATGTAAAATATAAATGAGACCTGGAAATTCTCTAGGTCGTTCTACCGTTTCTCGCAAAATCAAGCAGCCGATGATCGTTGTTGCGGCTGATAACGATACGCCACACTTGCAATCTTCATTTGTACTCATTGCACCGGGATTCATCGATCGGTCGAAAATCACGTGTATCTCTTAACTTAAAGCGATAGGGAATCGTTTCTCTTTTCCGCTCTTTCGTTCTTTTTCACTCGACGAGCACTCGAAACTCGACTTTATCGAGGGAACGGGAAAACCGTGGGTTCTCGTAATTATCTAGAAGTTGGAAAGGTTGTGGTACCAACTTGAACAACGTATGTACGGTTGCCAGAAGAGAGATAGATGTATAGGGTGTTCTAAGAGAAACTAGTCAAATCGCGATAAGACCCTCGACCAATTCGAAGTTGAGCTTTCGCTGGAGAAAATTATGGAGGCACACAAGGTTTCTAAAATAAATAGATCTACTACAGCCAAACGTCGAGGAGATTAATAAGTGACCGTACCCTGCTTTTAATTTCAAGCAGATTTCGCTTCGATGGAATATTAAATTTGACACTCAATATAGAAAAAGATACGTATTAATCTGAGAATCGGCAAATGAATCGATGAAACCTCTGACGTAGTCGAGAAAAGAATAACTTTGACAACGGCGGATAGGGAATCCGTCGTTAAAATCCGACCCGCTCATTGTGGGACACTCTGTAGAGAGAGAGAGAGAGAGAGAGAGAGAGAGAGAGAGTGCAAACGAAACGAGAAAACGTTTTGCTCACGTCTCCCGCCCGCAAGCGCACGAGAAAGCGAACCCGCGTTTCTTCTTACTCTCCTTTGTGCGACCATCGACGAGTTAGCGGCTATCGACCGCGAGGTTGGACGGGGTTTCACGAAATGTTTGCTGTCGATTGCTCCGAGAGGTCGAGGTTCGATAGTCAACGCGAAGTGCGGAGAGTCTACCTTCCATCTCTTCTAGATACACATACCGAGAGAAAGGGAAAGAGAGAGAGAGAGAGAGAGAGAAAGAGAGAGAAAAAACGATCTCTTCGTGGACACTTCTTCTTCCCTATTTCCTTCTAGATGCTTCTTACTTCCTCCCTTCTTTTCTCCTAACCGCACGATACCTCTCTCAAGAATGGACATTCTCTATAGATTCTTCTCTTCGTCATCCTTGTTCCCGTTCTTCCTTCAAGTATCTCCCTCGACTGTCGCCTTGGCTTCTTCCTTTTTCGTTTCTCTTTGTTCTTTTTTTTTTGCATTCGCTTTACTATCGACAGAATTCTCCGCGTTCCTATTTCCCTAAAATTCCCCCCCTGTAATTCTTCCCGCGCTCCCAAGTCCTGTCTCGTTCCTATTTATCTTCCCTTTAATCCACGCTTTTATTACTCCTGAGTGTCTTTCATTTTTAACTTCGCCACGAGCAGTTCCGTATTTGTTGCTACCCGTCCTATCTGTTTTTATTGTTAAAAAGCCTATAGCCGATATCCCTCTCCCGTCTTTTATCTGCGCCGGCGGATGGTTAATATTATCCACAGTTATATTTCTCGCGAGTGCCAATATTTTCTGTAAACGCAATCTCGCGTCAGGGAGCGTGTGAGCGCAGCCAACACTCGAGAGCTCGCCAATTTTGCCCTTTTAAGATCGGACTTTCGCAATCGTGTCGATGCCGAGATATTACGGCCGACCCGGCGCGGCAAATTTTCTAAAACGATCCGGACCTTACTTCCGCCTTTTTTCCTCTCGCTTCCGAAAATTAAATTTCTTGACGATCCCCCTTCCGTCTCGTGTATCAAATTGATCGGCACCGCCGCGTAGCGCAGCCGAGTATCCATTTAATTAAAAAAGTTCACTCGCGAAAATGTTCCCGGCCAGCCGGACGGACGTACTTGCTCTACTTCCCTCCCTCTCTCACCACAAAACCTGTCACAATACTCGCTCTCTCGTTTATGCAACGCGCAGAAGCGTCGATTTGTCAAAAATTTCAAACACGCGAGGCTGATGGTGCATTCGGCAGGCTCGTCGAGTTTTACTACATTAATAGCGAAACTGGGTCAACTAACTGGGCGAACGGGACATACATTACGCTTTTTTCTATAATCTTGTGTAAACTCCCGTGTTATGCCCGAAAGTTATGCAGCTGCATGTCCGAGTGCAAAAAGTCACGGAGGATATGAGATAACGCGGAACTTGGCGTATAGTACAATTTATCGCGTGTTATAGAACATAAAAAATGCGAGAGAAGCAAATTTGTTGTAAGGAGCACAGAAGTAAATATAAGGAAGAGTAACGAAGAGTATATAATACACGAACTGGTATTACCGTCGCGTCTCACAGCCGTCGCCACTGTCCGATATCAAATAATATCCCGGTAATTAGACCTTTAAATTAAAATTCTGCCAAAGTGAAGTCCACTCGAAATTACAGGGAGAATAAGACTTCGTTAGCCACCCGCGCTCCTAAAACTTGCTCCAACTTGGTACTGATTTCAACTTCTCCTTTCTTACACTTCCTTCCTTTTATTTCTCGGGATCCTCTGATGCTTTAATTCTATTACGCTCTGTGGAAAATCCATACCGCCAACGGAAAGCGTCAAGCTTCACGGGCCGACCCATCGCGAGACCGTCTAAGCGTCACAAGCCGGTACTACGGATGAAGCATTCAGAGTTTATCACGGCTGTGTTTTATCGCGCGATGCCGTCAATCTCTTCGGCTACTTCCGGCGAGTCAACCCGGAAGAGAGAGGTAGAAACAAGCAAATGTAAACTTTTTCGCGCCGGGGACGCTCGTAAATCTCACCCCCGAAGGCAACTTCCAACCCTCCTGCAGGACGCGCACCACCCACCACCTGCCCCGTTTGTTTCTGTTAGCTGACCCTCTCGACTTGTTAACTTTACGTTCTTACCACTTACGGCTAAATTGCCGTATAAAATATGTGACGACAGCCCCTCTGCAGTCATTCTTCGTTGTACTTTCTTTTCCCCCGTTTTCGCGGGTAATTAAGGGCGGCCGAGTCACTCTCGCCTGCTGCGACGATTGTGTCGTGAGAATTAATGTTTCCCGCCGGCGATACGTCGCTCGGGGATAAACTCGCGATCCGACGGTGACCGCAAATTGATCGGAATGACTGTAATTTTTAGCTACAACTGGCGGGGCGATCAGATATTCATAGCGAAATTATGCAAATTCGAAAGCATAGGCAGAAAGAGAGAAAAAAAGAAGAGAAAAGAACATTGCAAATGTACGTAATCCGCATTTTCAGCGATACGGTACACGTGCATGTAAACGCGCTGCTCGGAACACCGCTCCAACGGCGTTGTTCGGATTGCATCGGATCACCTGTCACGTCTGTAGTTGTCAAGGTAGATTTAAAACGGATCGCCGACAGTAATTCGGTCAAACGTACCGAGATCGGACGTGCAGGCGCGACAATAAAACCATTGGCGGATTCCGCAAATGCGAGATTCCAATAGCGAAAGATTGTTACGCGAGCAAAAAAAAAAAAAAAAACGCGCGAGATAAAAAAAATAAAACTGGCCGAAAAGCCCGACCGTTATAGACGATTTGGCGGTGCGATTGATTCGCGTATAATCATCGCGACGCTTAATTGCGACGCTGATAAACGAACGTTCCACCGGGGGAACTAACGACGACGACGGACACGCGACGATAAACGCTTCTAATACCAGCGACCGCGACCTGTCGACGAGAGTTTCTCTTACGCTTTTCGGAAAAGCTCTCACACGCACCTACAAAAGATCGCGCACAACAAAGCACGCGACCGGTGCGCAATGTGCCACACTAGTACCAGTTGCAAGCGCGAGCAAGCAAGCGCACTCGGTCCGTGGCAAACTCTCGAGCCTGCTGCGCGACGGAAGCGAAGAGCGTCTTTTTTTACGCTCATTATTTTAACGGCAAGCTTTTATGCGAAAATGCCCCGCCCGGTTCGCGACACTTCGTGATGAAACTTCGCGCGGCTCTCCATCCCCGCGTTTCCGTGAGTGGTGCATAAAGAAGCGCGCGGTACTGTGCGCATTAAGACGACTGTGTACAATGCACGTCGGATTTCTCTCGCTGGTCGCGACAAATAGACAAGTTGGATCCGATAAGCCGGCCGGGAAGGCAAAGCAGGCTTTAATGAGATTTCACTATTACGTGAAACTTTCCTCCCGCTTTTTATCCGCAGAATTGACGGAATATTTTCGCGTCGCTTGTAGCACAGCGTTCCTTTCACGCGCCGGTTTATCGATGGGGGTTGAAGAGTTCAATCTCTCTCGTCGGCGCGCGACCAACTGCAGAAATTAAATCTCAATCTCGGCCGAGGTGACAGATCTGTATGTGACGATACAGATTTACAAAAGCAACGACGGCGGGCGAATTTTCGGGGGGATTCCCACGGAGAGGGAATACCGCGCGGAGAATTCCTCCCCGGTGGCGCAGGATTTATGATATTATTTCTACGGTGGTGATAGCGGACGATGTGTTGCGATAATATACGGCGGATGTGAAATATTTCTCGCGAAGTACAATGTAGTGCGGGACAACGATGGTTCGTAATGTATGTCGTTACTCGAGCGCGCGTTTCTCTCTCTCTCTCTCTCTTTCTTTCTTCGCGGCAGAGAAGAAAACTCCGCCGCAAAGATTAAGCTGCGACCGCTGATCGAATAAAAGTGTACGAGAGGAAGATTGAGCGTGGGCAATCCTACCCGGTTACATTCCGTCGCGCGCTAACTTCGTTCGAAGTTCCACGGGACGACTGAAATTTTCTAATGTTATTCCGAAACTTCCCTCGCACATAATGTCCCGGCATGATACATTTCGCAGCTTCGTTCGCGCAATAAAGAGGATCGCGAATTCGCTTACGCGTTCGCGCTACATCTGTTTCGCTGGATAAAATAAGGAGAGCG